AGATAGGGTCTTGCTATGTAGTTGAGGCTGGCCTTAGACTCACTATGTTGCAGTCCTTCTGCCTCAGCCTCCAGAATGCTGGGATGACAGGTATGTGCCACCATGCCTAGAAAGCCAGCATTTCTGTGAGTATTCACGTTCAGATGTGACCTTTTTGATCCATGTAGTGAGATTAGGGAACTGTCCAGCTATGGCAGCTGCTCCAGTCACATACATTCTGACACAGAATGACCAGTTTTCCTGATGTGTAGTTATTTAAAGATTATAACTGTCATGTTGGTTGGCAACAAAAGTGCATTTAAAATATCTTCATGCTCCTCCCCCTGAAAAATACATCATGCTAACAGGAGTGTTAATTGTAGCCTTGTTAATGTTGAGAAACCTGTCACCCTGGATTTTACACCATGATGACGCCTTAATCCTCCTGAACAATTGTGCCTCAGTGTCTTCTGCTATTTCATCAGTTCATCTACTTGTGTTGCTAGCTGAAAGAGGAACATGTACCACCTTTTGAACTGCAGTGTCTCCTTGAAGTTCACAGCAGGTGTTCTTAGCAGTAGGCAAGATCAACTCCGTCAGTAGTAAAAAGCTCTGGCAATGCAATTAATCACTATGAGTGGTATTCCCAGTGGAGGCACATTTGATGAAGTGGGCTTTAATAATTGCTTCTGTCCTTCATGTTTATGGGTTTTTTTCTTTTGGAAAGTTCCAAAGCCTTGTCCTTTAATGCCGGCTGCCTGGTCTCCATATGGCAAAGCGGTTTTGAAGATTCCATGGTTTCAGTCCAATATAACAACCTGTTATACAAAGTGGGCTTGGAGAATGTGAATTATCTGTTGCACTGAACCTGTAATTTATATAGAACTCTTGGTATTTTCTTTTAAATGTAGCTTCTTTTTTGCTGGCAGACTTAAGAGTCTTCTGCTGTCTCATCATTGGGTCTTTCCTCCTTTTCAAAGAAGCTTCCCAGTGACCTTTGGTTTATATTCATTTAGGCTAGGGTTAGCTATGGGCTTACCACAACTGTGACTAAGACAAGTACAGGTTACAGGAAACAGGCACAGATGGAAGTGATAAATAAAATAATGCCACATGTGGACTAAAATAAGTATCAGATTGTGACCTATAGTCTACCAGATGCCTCTTAATTGTTAATTTTTTTTGCCATAATTGTATTGATAAATAGCAATGAGACAGTTTCGAATCAAATCGGTAGGACAGTTTCAATAATTAACACACTGCATACATTCTTCTTAGTGGTTAATTGCTGTGCAAGATTGTTAACTTACCACTCACTGACAGGGTTTTGAATCTGCAAGCAATCAGTACATTAGTATGATCTTTGCAGTCAGACCTCTCTGCTAATGTGTATCTGTATTTGCAGCCACTCCTCAATGCTAGCATCACTACCTCAACTCCGCTCAGATCGTCAGGCATTAGTTTCTTGTAAGGAGCCCACCACCTACATCTCTCACATGCTCAGTTTCCAGTAAGAGTCTTGTTCCCCTGAGAATCTGATGCAGCGTGGTATTCAGGAATTTTAGCAATGGGAAGCAGCTATCAATACAGATGAAGTTCTCCTAGCAGCTACTTACCTCCTGGTGTGTAGCCTAGTTTCTGTCCAGCCATAATCCAGGACCAGGGCTTACAGACCTGTGCTTTAGGTCACATTGATTGTATTGTTTTAGTTTCTATGTTATTAATTTTTTTCTCTGTTCTATTAGTTATTTAGAAATGAATATTAAAATCTCCAACCATAATTGTAGATTTGATTATTTCTCTTTGCAGTTTTATTAGTTTTTGCCTTGTGTGTTTTGCAACACTTGAGTGTTGAGCCCAAGAGCTCCCATGTGGTAGGCAAGCAATCTGCCACTGAGCTGTATTCTCAGTTCTTTTCTTTCCTTTCCTTTCCTTTCCTTTTTCTTTCTTTCTTTCTTTCTTTCTTTCTTTCTTTCTTTCTTTCTTTTTCTCAGTCTTTGTGAGATAGGGTCTTGCTATGCAGTTCAGGCTGGCCTTGAACTATTAATACAGCAACTTCAATTTTCTTTCTTTCTTTTTTTTTTTTTTTTTTTTTGTGGAACCGGGGATTGAACTCAGGCCCTTGCACTTGCCAGGCAAGCACTTATTCTACTGAGCTATACCCCCGGCCCCTTTTTTTTATTTGTGTGTGTGTGTGTGTGTGTGTGTGTGTGTGTGGCCAGCTCAGCCCACCAGGGGGCGGGGCTGGCTGGCATGTGGTGCTGGGGGATTGAACC